GATTGTGCGAGATAAGAAATCTTTCCGCTCATAACGTACCCATTCTCTGCTAGGCTAAGGCTTATCGTTGGTTCCTGCGGTCGAGAGAACGCCAGAAGAGGAGTGCATGGGGGACCGCACCCAAGCGCTGTCCCCCTCCCTCACTCAACTTCGCGCAGATTTAACTGCCCGAAGAAAGTCGGTTGAGTATCTCGTTCGGACCAGTGAGTCGTGTCCTTGTTCATGTTTCGCAATTGTACAACTGCGTACTTCTGAGGAAGAATTCGCGTGTTTTTTCAAGTTTATATTTTAGTTTTCCCGGCGTCTGTCAGCAGGCAGACGTGAAATCCCTGCCCAATCGCCACTCCGTGCTCTCAAATGATACAGCCACCCCGTGTTTCTTCGTTGCATTTCATTTCTGATCAATGAAACTGATTGGCAGTACTCAATTGTTCTTTCTTAGGTTATCAGGAAAGGAAAGCAACTATTGGACTTTGAAAAAGGGGAAATCGTCACAAAATAAGAAAAATTAAGCGCCAGGTGGTCACATCGCGCGAAAATTTCGTCGAGCTACGGAATGATTAGCAATTTCTTTTTGAATCCTGTAGAAAATGGAACTTAGAAGGGCTCCGGACGTTATTCTCGCTTTTTGATTAAGATAAATGCAACATTATGAGAACAGCACCAAATTTCACCAAGGCGGGTTCGGAAATTGAGTCTTCTTTAGAACTTAATCTCCTACTGGATAGTGCTGGGAATGCAATAAACAACTTCCAAAGATCGTTCTCGAGCTGACATGAAAAGGACGGTGATTTTGACAAGAAACCGTCGCGAAACGCGTTAAAAGAGTGGCAGAAAAGAAGTAAAACACAACAGGCCGAAAATGGATCCTGCTCCGGTTGGCTTGGTCGGAATTCCCCTGCAAAAATGACTCGGTTTTCGCGACGGTTTCTTTTCAAAATCACCGTCCTTTTCATATTCAGCTTGAGAACGATCTTGGAAGTTGTTTATTGCATTCCCAGCACTATCCAGTAGGAGATTAAGTTCTAAAGAAGACTCAATTTCCGAACCCGCCTTGGTGAAATTTGGTGCTGTTCTCATAATGTCGCGTTTATCTTAATCAAAAAGCAAGAATAACGTCCGGAGCCCTTCTAAGTTCCATTTTCTACAGGATTCAAAAAGAAATTGCTAATCATTCCGTAGCTCGACGAAATTTTCGCGCGATGTGACCACCTGGCGCTTAATTTTTCTTATTTTGTGACGATTTCCCCTTTTTCAAAGTCCAATAGTTGCTTTCCTTTCCTGATAACCTAAGAAAGAACAATTGAGTACTGCCAATCAGTTTCATTGATCAGAAATGAAATGCAACGAAGAAACACGGGGTGGCTGTATCATTTGGAGACGATGGAAAAGCGACGCTTTTTGGAAAAATTGGAATAAAAATTTTTTCGCATTTTCAACCTGGAATTTCATGTTGATTTTATTTTCGAAGCTCGCACGAACCGGCAAATTGAACCGCATCTATTTCCTTGCCTGAGACACATTTATTGCCATAAAACTTTGTGAATTTCGCGATTTGACTTAAATTATCTTAGGCAGACGTAAAAGCTGCAATCACAACTGTATACAATCAAACAATATAATCACATCATTCAATAACGCAATAACTGCTTCTTTGCCCTACGTTTGAACGATACAAAAACCTGAGGAGTAAACGGCATATTGACTTTAAGTGAAATAAATGTTGAGCCAGCTCTACAAGTGAAGCTCGAGAGTTTTAAGCTTGTTTTGGGAGGCGCATAAGAAATCTTCTCCGACGTTTGATGTTTTAAGCTTGCGTTTGGAGTCACATAGAAATTTTGTTTCTCCAGTGGGAATTTCTGGGCCTAGCGCATGTGTCGTGGATTGCTATGGGTTGCTGGAGAACCTCTCAGTTATTTCTTTCCCACCTCGAACCGGGACGTTGTGAAACTGAAAGAAGTTACCAATCATCTGGCTGACCCAGAACTTCGTGCGCATTTGTTTGACTCTACAGTTCTTCCTGCGCTTTGTTACGCGGCAGAGACATGGGTGAGCAGTGCATCCACGTCAAGGACTTTGACTGTAGCTCACAGAGCGCTCGAGCGATGTCTTTTGAGGTTTAATAGATTTACTCAATATCGAGCTGGACTCCACAGCGCAGACCTGCGCAGAATGTCCCATCTCCGAGACCCTGTGGAGTACATGACAAACGCCAAACTACGATGGGCCGGACACATCATGAGGAGAGCAGATGACAGGTGGACAAGAAGAACGGTAGAGTGGGCTCCCGTAGGATTTTCGCGGTCCAAAGGGAGACCTGCTGCGAGATGGGGAGATGCACTCGTCAATCACATAAAGCAGCTGCGAATGCAGCTAAACGATGCTTCAGATCGCCGTCTCCGTAATAAAGAGAAAAGGAGGATTGGCAACGTCCCTCGAACCGTCATAACATCCTATCGGTTTTACGCGCAGGTGCCTCTCTAATCCGAGTGAGAAGAAGTTCAGACCATGACAGAATTTCCGCTCATCCCAATCTTTAGAAAAAGCCTCTCGAATGCTAAACGATTCACATACACCTGGATCGGAAGCAGGTTTAACCGTCAATATGTTCAAAACGAAACGCATTAGAAACGATCATTCTGATAGAAAATCTGTACCCCTTCAGGGTGTCACACTGTAGGAATTCGACGAATACGTCTACCTTAGCCGTCTGTTCACATCAAAAACGAATTAAAAATGCAACACTGAGTAGAAGGAAGGCTGCAAAAAATGCAGCAGAGGGAACAGGGAAGGAGTGGTTTTGTGACAGGGGTCTTGATGGGGCGGTCTTTCAACGAACTTGACGCCTTACCGAAAGCAATATTTGGCAATTTTTTACAGAGCGTGACTGAGTCGTGGAAGAGACCGAACCAGCGGTTTTCGGAGGTGCTAATGGGTATAGACTCCCAAATGCTCCACCATCCCTGCCTAGGAAGTTCTGATTAATAAACTTGAAAATTCATATGAAATTTGCTTTCAATAGAACCCGCTGAAATTTGGAAACAGAAAAGATTCAGGCGTCTTCTGAAAGGTGGCTGCTATTCGTTGCCGAACATTCTCTGATTCGCGAGAAGTATGCGTCGAGGTTTTGTCGAAGAAATTTCAGGAGCCACTCAAAACCTCTATTCCCCGCTCGCCGGAGGAGACTCAAGGCCCAGTCGGAGTCATTTGAGAGGTATTTTGTCTACACGACTCGTGAAGATGTGTTTCTCATCTTGACTCATTAGAATAACTTTTGTGATCACAGTATAGCCTGATCATTCCTTTATTTACATTGCTTCCTTTCTGATCCTGTTTCGATGAACAACTCATTTGCGGTAGCAGTAGCTACTGATGTCAAGGAGGTTCGAATCTTCCCTTATTGAATTTCCTTCCCATATGTTCCTCCACTACATAGATTCTCAATGCGTGCACAACTCGTGTATACAGGGTGTCCCATAAATATTGCACCACTTTTCTTTGCTTGTAACTTCTTTCAAAATGGATGTATTTTCCAAGAGGTTTGTCAAAAATGTTAGCAATACATTTACATATTGAAAGGAATGACATTCATTGGATATGCTCCCCTGTTGTTGTGAGTATGGCTCCCAATTGCTTCGAACGCAACTCTACTGTGGCCCGCATGGCATCCTGGGGTCTCCCTCTTCGAAACTTTGCTGAAAAAAGACTTCAGTTTATCCATGTGGATGCAATATTTAGCGCAGGCTCTGCCGTATAACATAGCCCACATAAGATGGTCCTGCCCGTTGAAATCAACAGATAGGAAAGAGCCATTCGTTTGAGGATGTGAAATTGGAAAGAGTGCCTTAACAGCGCTCCTGAACAATTTTTGCCTCTTATGCAGAACCTGGGCTCTATTGAAAGGAACGTCACCCCTCTTCTGAGCGGCTAGATACCTCAGTAAGAAATGGTGCACGGGAATGTCCCTTGGCTCGATCTAGTATCAAGTTGTATTCCTTTATAAACAGGCACTGATGGTGAGCGACCGGTAGTTGATACCCCTGTCCAGAGCATGAAAAAGTTCGGCTGCTGTTTGTGGCGGATATTCCTCTCACTCTCACCAACTTCCTCAAGACGTCATGCGGACATCCTCGAAAATTGAGATTGTAGCTCCGCTCCATGAGAGGAATTTTTTCGTCAAAGAAAACGTTGCCCGCATAATTCCCAGTTTCGGCCCTCACCACCAGCCCTTTGAACTTTTTGTCTCTGCTGTGCTCCTGCCCTTCGATTGGCAGTGTTATGCAACGTATCATGGACTGTAAGCAATT